AGTTGTAATATGAGAAAAAATGTAATATGAGAAAAAAAGTTGTAATATGAGAAAAGTTGTAATACAGTATTGTGAGAAAAAAGTTGTTATATGAGAAAAAAGATCGTAATATTATGAGGAAAAAGGTCATAAAATTGAGAAAAGTCATTACAAGAAAAAAAGTCATAATCTTACATGACGTGTTTTTCATTTCCTCCTTATTTTCCTCACAGCTGCTGTGTACAGCCATGTGTCTGTGTTATAAAATAGTCCATGATGACCTGGATCACTGTTAGATTAATATGATTTCATCCAAATTAACTATGTGACTAAATCTGACAATGTACCCATTAATTACACCATTAATTACAATACGACTGTACAATATCCAAGTCCTGCTACTGATAATCTGATGCTAAAGTGCTAAAAGATAAACAATTTAAGCAACACTAAAGAACAACTTGACGAGTTGCTCAGCATTCCTCATGTTAATGCAGTGATAACTCTCTCACGATTCGATTCAAAATCAATTTTTTTTCCATTCAAAGCTGATAATGTGAGCCCGTTTGTCCCGTTCCCAAACTGCTTCATCTTTATGTCGCACACCTCGCTCTTGTCAAACTCAGACTCAGTCAGTAAAAAACAAAATGAGCTCAAATCTTTGCGTTCAATGAAGACAGATTCAGTTGAGTCTCTCTTTCCTCCAGTTTTATAGTTTGCTCTTTGTTTTTGTGCGTTCTGCACGTTCATGTGTTCCAGAAGCAGCTGACGACATCAGGACGTCCCATGTAGTTACAAAATGGAGGCTGACTGCCTTTGGATTTGCTTTATTTATTTTATTTATAAAAATTGATTTTAGGACATTTTAAATCAATTCTGAATCTTTGTTGATGAGAATCATGATTCTGATGTAGAACACGTTTTTGGTGCACTGCAAACTGCATGTAATGACTTTAATCTCATAACTTGTAGTTGCATTATAATTTTTTTATTTAACATCTTATTGCAGCATAAATTTCATCAGCTAAGTTGCTCAACTTACTTTTAAAAACGAATCCTTCGGTCCGTGGTGAATTTCCAAACTACACAGACTCGGTCAAAAAATAAAAACTCCTCCGTCTTCATTTCTCCGTTTATTTTGCTGCTTTGAATCCTGGGATATCCTCGGCCGGTGAGGATTCATGGATGCATCCTCGGATTTCGAGAGTTTGTCGGCTGCGTTCCTCGGCCGCACGATGAAGGGCCTTCGAATTGGGACAGTCCTCGGCGCGGGGCAGTGACGTGTGCAGACGACAAACGTGCACTCGTGAGGACCCAGCCCCTGAATTGAGACACAGCCTTGATGTGCAGCCTCAAAGCAAACAGCAAGTTCATTAGAGATCACGATCATATATTAGATTAATTTATCTGTTTTTATATTCATACAGTACTTGGGTTCAAGACAACTTGTTTTAAGCTGATATTCATGTCTTACTTTCACCACCAGGTGGCAGTGTGTCTGTTTGCCACGAAACAAACTTTGTTGTCGTGGATCTTGAATAGTATATTTACTTGAAATAAGAAATATTTCCTTTAAAAACACGAGACTCGAGGAGTGGGCTTTATATATTTAAAACAGCTCGTTATAGAGTTTTATTTTTTAATTTTATTTAAGATTTATTTTAAGGAAGATTTGCTTCATAAAAAGGCCTTATTTTCTGAAATAGAGTAATGTTTCTGTTGGGCTTTCAGAGGCCTTACTCTACTTCATCAAAGGCAGCCTTTTTATTAAAAACACCATTATTTGTTTGTATTTGCAGAGAAACAAATATCAGTTTTTGTGTTTGGTGTCCACAGCTGGATGAGCAGGTGGCGGCTGCTCACCTGGACAAGCTGGGGGTGAAGCTGACCAAGCTAACAGACAAACAGGCCAAATACCTGGGTCTGCCCACCGAGGGCCCCTTCAAACCGGACCACTATCGCTACTGAACCCGTCAGCCTCAAACCAGTGAAGAAGCAGAGCCGCGTCGGCCGGAGGACTTCAGAGATCGGAGGTTTTACTCTGCGTTTTGGTTTAGGACCGCCAAATCAGTGATTCAGGGCTGAAAAGAGACGGTTGTGATTCTTTTTGGAATAAATCACCTTTTATATAAAACGATGAACCTTTTAGTTGCTTCTTGTCAAATAAACGGTTATTCTGTTCTTAAAATCAAAGCTAATCTGTGAGTTGAAAACAAAAGTATTCAGAAATCTGCAGCAGCCCAACTCAGCTTTGTAGAGTTTGTGTTGCAGGAACTGTTTCAGCTCAAAATGTTTTAATTTCATTTGTTGCTCGTCAGTATTCAGATCATCTCTTCTGAAACTCCATCCGGTGCTGCGGTGGCTGGTTTAAAAAAATATTCCTCTTTGTTTTCTGTCATTCCGTCTCCATTTATGGAAAAATAAATCCTGATACTTGTCAGTAGAAAGTGGACGGCTCGGTGAAACGCGTTGCTTCCTGTTTATTAAAGGATGATGCCACATGAACCACCGGCCGTGTTCGTCCCTGATTTATCAGGAAGTGGACTTCTGTTTGTCTTTTAGTTGTGATGATTTGACTCAGAGGGTCAGGTTCTGATCCTGGATTTGTCTCAGTTCAGCTGCTGATCAAACTGTGATGAGAAATAAAACAATAAATGAACAAGTTTTCATTCTTTAGTCTTATTTCTGTTAAAGTTACAACTCCCATCAGTTTATTATTATGAGCCCCGCACACGAGGCATAATCAGGAGTCATGTTTATTTTATTTTAGTATTTTTTGTCCGATTTTTGGTCAACTGTAGCACAAAAACAGCTGCACCAATCAACATGAAATTAGTCAGGACTGTAGATGAGTCTGACCTACACTGCACCAGCCAACGGCTTTACAGTAGACCCCATATTTGAGGAGGGGGCTCCTTTCAAAGAGGGGGTGTCAGGACATGCAAAAATGCTTATAACTCAGAAATTGTTCAACAGAGAGGCTTCAGATTTGTTTTGTTGTTTAGCTCTGATGAGGGGCTATCCATCAGGTCGACACCCCCCCCCCCCAAAAAAAAAATAATAACCTAGTAGCATGACATTTATTAGGAATAAAGACTTCAGAGTTCTGGTGCATTTCTGTGTGCGGGGG